CACGTGCTACAGAGACAGTCATATATATTTCTTGTGATTGTAACAAGAACCTGACGGACCTTACACCAAGAAACCACGTGCTACAGAGACAGTCATATATATTTCTTGTGATTGTAACAAGAAACTGACGGACCTTACGCCAGGAAACCACGTGCTACCGAGACAGTCATATCTTTCTTACATTTGTAACAAGAACCTGACGGACCTTACACCAGGAAACCAAGTGCTACGGAGACACTCATATATATTTCTTGTGATTGTAACAGGAACCTGATGGGCCTGCCTGTTGAAACATATTAATGGAGTCAAACCACCAAAATAGTCATTTTAGAAAAGCCCCCCCCCCCCAATTCATATCTGACTAAAAATGTTTCACAGACACTGCCTTTTGGGCCCCTTCCGAGCTTGAGTGGGGCGACCGCCCGGTCGCCCTACAAAACACTTAGAGTGACTCCCGTAATTAGTCCTGGTAGGTACAAGTCATATCTATCATCTGATATCATGGTCCATTTTAGGCCCTCGTTGATACCCATCCTTCAGCAAAGTAATGTTGCCATCATATCCATTCAATAAACTAATGTGAATCATAATAACTTTGGGTAATACTGGTAACTAGAAAATAAGCTTGAAACATTTTGTTTAACCCTCTTTTTAGCCGCGGCTGAAAGGCTCATAGAATGGCTCCGAGTTTTGTTTCTGTTTTATTAAAGTACAAACGTTTAGCTCATAGCTCCGTCATCTCTTGAGCGATTTGAGATCTAATTACAGTTTTGGACTCAGGAGGTCAAACCCTTTCGATTGATGCATTTGACCACGCTCGTCTCACGCTATTTATATCTTTGTCACTTAATCGTCTTGTCCGCCTTCTGTATTCTCGACGTTCTGTATTGCACGTGACGTTCGATATTCTCAAAATCAATGAATTATTAACAAAACTTCCTACAAACAAAAACTAATCAATAATAAAACACGCACTCACAAAACTAAATTAATCAATAATAGCTGAACGAAATGGTCTTTTATATCATGACACGTAGGTATTACTTACAAGCAAATCATTCATCTCCGTGTCCCAACCTTCGTCATCATCATAGGACTTGGCGTCAACGCCTGATTGGATAAGTTCATCAACTTCGTGTGACGTGGAAGCAGTAGGACTTCTGAAATACAGTAATTCCAGATTCAGTGATTAATTCATGGATACATAGATGGATGACCCATTGATCTCTGATTATGATGCAAAAATTACAATAAGAAATAAAACCATGGACTGAAATAAATTCACTCTGTATTAATTTGAATAACAAACAAAACAGATTTATTAATTAATATACTTATTATTTAAATTTTACAGGTGATATTGTAAACATAACAGAAATAATTGTTAAATATAATTCCTTATTATTTAGATATGACTGATATTTCGGTAACCTAAAAAGGCAAAGACACAAATGATCAGATCTTACCTAGAATAGCCGAGAGATGACATCTCCGACCGTTTTGCACTAATTCCACGACAAATTGGAGCAAATACAAATCTTCTAGAGATCATAATAATAATAATAATTGTGCATTAGTCTAGACTGATAGCTAAGAATTTTCAAATAACATTTAGTAAACAGAATTTTCTACATAGATGATAACCTAATAAGAGAAATCACTAAAGACTTGCAGTAGCACCTGCCGACAAAAATGAAGACTCGCTTATTTTATGGAGTTTTAAATTTATTTATATGTCAGATTAAAACGTCTGCCTATCATTTTTTTAACTTTTATGAAACATTGAATTTTTAATTATAGCATGCTAAAACAAATGTGAATGAATTAACCCAGATTTTCTTGAAATTAACTAAAAATGCTTCTGTTCATACTGGACACAGCAGTTTACATACATTAAAATACAGCTGGGCAAGTAAAGCAGTTGATTAATTAAAGTAAAACAATTCGGCTAACAAGTAGTTGGTTAAAATGAAACAACTTGACTAATAAGTAGATGGTTAAGGTAAAAAAAACTTGGCTAAATAAGTAGAAGGTTACAGTGAAACAACTTGGCTGATAAATAGATGGTTACAGTGAAACAACTTGGCTAATAAGTAGATGGTTAAAGTAAAAAATTTGGCTAATAAGTAGATGGTTAAAGTGAAACAACTTGGCTAATAAGTAGATAGTTAAAGTAAAACAACCACTCACATAGATTTAGACTCCCTTCCCTTGGATTTTGACCCCACTTCCCTTGGATTTAGACTCCACTACATTTGAGTTTAGACTTCTTCCCGTGGATTTAGACCAAAATGCCCTTAGATTTAAACTCCACTGCCATTGGATTTAGAACCCGCTGCCCTCGGATTTAGACTTCACTACCCTTGTATTTAGACCCTAATGCCCTTGGATTTAGACTCCACTGCCGATGGATTTAGACCCCAATGCCCTTGGATTTAGACTTCACTACCTTGGGTTTAAACCCCACTACCCTTGAATTTAGACCCCACTGCCCTTGCACTTAGACTTCACTGCCCTTGGGTTTATACTATCTTCCCTTGGATTTAGACCCCACATCTCTTGCATTTAGCCTCCACTACCGTTGGATTTAGATTCGCTTCCCTTAGATTTAGCGTTCACTGCCCTTACATTTAGACCATCCTGCCCTTGGATTTAGACTTCACTGCTCTTGTGTTTATACTACCTTCCCTTGGATTTAGATCCCAACTGTGCTCTAAAATTATCAATAATTGAGGGTATGTGTCTCCAACAATCGCCTGTTTCTGTGTAGTCACAAGGACTAAATTTTATTTGTTGACCAGACTCTTGACACAGATTCTTACCGACAATCCAAAGCATTGGTAGCCAAAGCTGTCGCCATCACAAGATAGAAAACCAGAACGATGACACGAGAAACTGTCCTCATAGTTGACTCGGTTTGAACAATCTACATAAAATATAAAAGTCATTATTTTTGGTGTGAATGTAAAGAATCTTAAATTATTAGGTCGTCAATTCTTATTGTTGGTGCTTTTCCATCTTACAATCAGGTTGTTAATGCCCTGATTAAAGAAATCACTTGGCTTTGAAGCAAAAACATATCGATGTCCTCTTTAACACCTTACACATTTGCTTACGTTTTCCCATTAAGATGGTGTTGCAGCGAGCGAAAAAGATGGTAATCTGATGATGTCATATCTGGAGAATATGGTGTGTGGGGGAGAACCTCCCAACCCAAATCCATAATCTTGTGTTGCGTCAAATGTGTCACATGTGGACGTGCATTGTCGTGGAGAAGAAGAACACTTTTTCGATTGACGAGAGAAGTGCGTTTCTGAAGAAGGACTTGATTTAAACGTTCCAGTTGCTGACTATAGATCTCTGCATTGACAGTTAACTGTGAATTGAGGAGTTGGAAATGAATTACTCCTTTGTTGTCCCACCAAATGCAAAGCATCACTTTCTGCGGATGGAGTCCAGGTTTTCGGGTCGGAAGTAGTTTTTGTCTAGGACT